GCTCTACTATACACAACAACTACACACGAGAACGACAGACGACCCTCCATCACACCTCCCTCCCTTACCTGTACGCTCTACTATACACAACAACTACACACGAGAACGACAGACGACCCTCCATCACACCTCCCTCCCTTACCTGTACGCTCTACTATACACAACAACTACACACGAGAACGACAGACGACCCTCCATCACACCTCCCTCCCTTACCTGTACGCTATACTATACACAACTACACACGAGAACGACAGACGGCCCTCCATCACACCTCCCTCCCTTACCTGTACGCTCTACTATACACAACAACTACACACGAGAACGACAGACGACCCTCCATCACACCTCCCTCCCTTACCTGTACGCTCTACTATACACAACAACTACACACGAGAACGACAGACGATCTATCCTGCAGCAAGCGCTTCCCCTACCTGTACGCTTCCCCTACATGTACGCTTCCCCTAACTGTACGCTTCCCCTAACTGTACGCTTCCCCTAACTGTACGCTTCCCCTAACTGTACGCTTCCCCTAACTGTACGCTTCCCCTAACTGTACGCTTCCCCTAACTGTACGCTTCCCCTAACTGTACGCTGCCCCTACCTGTACACTTCCCCTAACTGTACGCTTCCCCTAACTGTACGCTTCCCCTACCTGTACGCTGCCCCTACGGTCCCCTACCTGTATGCTTCCCCTACCTGTACGCTTCCCTTACCTGTACGCGACGATGGGAAGCATGAGCACAACGACGGTGACGATGATCGTGAACCACGTGATCGCGCTGCCGATAGTCGCGCGCGCCACGCCCGTGTACGCTGCGCCGATGAAGTCGCTGTACAGTAGGAACTGAAAGCCGAAGTAGAAGCTGATCGAGCCCCAGATGACGAAGTGATTGAAGCCCGTCCAGTAAGACGTGTCGAACGCGATCTGAAATATAAACAAAAGTGTCATACGCTTATAATTATATATACATGTTGTACTTGTAGGCTTATTTACCAGTGTACACACCATTACGACCTGTTGTACTATGTTATATATACTATATGTGTTATTATTATTAATATTATTATTATTATTACACTCTATATTGATGTACTCAATGGTTTTATACTTGTATTGGTGTATTGATTATACTATATGTATTATTATTATTATTATTATTATTATTACACTATGTATTGGTGTACTCAATGGTTTGATACTTGTATTGGTGTATTGATTATACTATATGTATTATTATTATTAATATTATTACACTATGTATTGGTGTACTCAATGGTTTGATACTTGGTGTATTGATTATACTATATGTATTATTATTATTATTATTATTATTACTACACTATTTATTGGTACATTAGAAAGCAATCAAATCGATACAGTAAACGAATTTACTCAGCTCAGTCTTATTTACCACACTCTGCACTCGGTGCTTAATTAAGCACGTACCAATCTAATAAGCGACAGTACTTAGCATCGCCTACACATGCTTTTGAAGCATTTCCAGTCCATACAGGTTGGTTATAGAATATTTATTGCTACCATAGAGATCTAGACAGGTATTATTAGGTATTAGCTATTTATTTTAGGTACGATAACGGACTTTTATCTACAAATAGCTGCAGTATATGTACCATATTTGGCTTCACATGGCCTTACATACATAATAAATTACTAATTACATAAATAAATGTTTTTAAGAAATGGGGACAACAGCTCATCTTTGAGCCGCACCATTGGCTGTGGGGAAAGTCTGCTACAGACTCGTGGGGAACTGCGGGGACAATGTACATGCTTACGAGCCATCATTATACGACACATCGCTATGCTTGACATCCATACGATACACGAGTGCAAGACGTGCCGTACATCCGTACTCCGCTCACTAGCATGCTATGCACGTCCTCACTACACTAGCTCGCTACGCTAACCCGCAACGCTAGCCCGCCACGCTATCCCGCTACGCTAACCAGCCACGCTAGCCCGCCACGCTAACCCGCCACACTAACCAGCCACGCTAGCCCGCCACGCTAACCCGCTACGCTAACCTGCCACGCTAGCCCGCCACGCTAACCCGCTACGCTAACCTGCCACGCTAGCCCGCCACGCTAACCCGCCACGCTAACCTGCCACGCTAGCCCGCTACCCTAACCCGCTACGCTAACCCGCCGCGCTAGCCCGCCGCGCTAACCAGCCGCGCTAACCCGCCACGCTAGCCCGCTACGCTAGCCCGCCACGCTAACCCGCTACGCTAGCCTGCCACGCTAACCCGCTACGCTAGCCCGCCACGCTAGCCCGCTACCCTAACCCGCTACGCTAG